CTCCCTTCTTTTAGGATAGGACCAGCATTTATAGAAATACCTTCTCTCAGTCCCTGTGGGCTTGCTGTCCCCCAAAGCACCACACTCTGAATAGGCTTTCCACTCCGTTTTTAGCATAACAGCATGTTTATTTAGCTCTTTGGCTGCAGCTTTAAAGCCATTTAATGTAATGTAAACAAGAACATTTTGTTTGTAATTTGCTAAATGTCTCACAGCCCAACTGTGTCTCCAATTAGGAACTTAAGGTTCATTTAGTAATTTACATCTGGTTCTGATTTAAGATGACTTTCTGGGGCTAGAAAGGACTCAGGAACCCTTGATTGCTCTTTGGACCAAACTGTTCTGCTTCCAAGATGAACTGCCTTTTTAATTTTGTCAGGTTTGATTTGTGCTATATTGTCACCGTGGAACCCAGGTCCTAGCCTAGTATGACCAGAATCTGAAAACTCAGAAGCCACAGAGGTATATAAGAAATTTAGCTGGAATATCATTAAAAAAAATATGCTAAGGGTGGCTGAAACTCCAAGAAGCCTAAATACTTATTCTTTTTCTTTTTCTTTCTCTGTAGGTTCCAGTCAGTGGAAGATAAGTAGCAAAGACCAACATCACAGCATTATTTGTGTTTTATTCCCCTTTCTCCATCTGGTGCCTTTTAAACAACTTGGTATGCTTCTGAAATGGGCTCCTCATTGTCTTAGGAGTCATTAGCATTTAAAACCCCCGGTTGGAATCCCAAACACAATTCTCTTTCCATTCCAGATTCAGCACCATCTTCCAAAGTATTAAAATGGAGAGATCTCTGATATGTAGAGTTTGTTCAGTGGCTTTGGTAGGAATGATTCATGAGGGAGGTTTTGTGTTCCTGGAGGATTTTTATCGCTTCTTTCAGCTTCCTTTTGATTTCTCTTCTTTTGAAAGATTCTTTGCAGAAACCAAAGTACATATAGTTTCTCACCCGAATTGGATTCTGAAAAATCAAGATCTGCAGCGGCTTATTCCTGCCTATCCTCCACAACGAGGAGGAGAGGGTGCTGGGAACACAGGGCCTCTCTATTAGTCATGTTCCCTCTGGCTGTCAAAAAAACATTCAGTTGTAATCCCACTAATAACTGTTTTTCCTTAAATATTGTAATTTCCTGAGCCCCCCCCCCCCAAAAAGTCATCAATAATTTTTTTTCCCTTTTGCCCGGTTTGTGTTTATATTTGTAGCTATTCGTAATTGAGGGCTATTATGACAACAGGATTTTCAAACAATTGTGGCACGTGAGATCTTAGCCTTCTACCCCAACCAGCTGCCTACACAATGATGAAAACACCATGTGGGTTTGTTCTGTAACATGCATGTTTGTCCAATATTATGAGGTTTAATACTAAGCCTCTAATCTTCTCTAAGAATATTCCTTTAAAAATACATAGCAGTGTGCACGCTCCCCAATTTGAATATTAAATGAGAATAAAGCACAATTAATTTAAGTTTGAAACAGATATTATGGTATGTTGGCACCATGAGTCAACATAAAGGGAGAGAACAGGTGGTAATAGAGCATAATAACACTTTGGGATGTTTTGCTGAAATTTCCTGGTTGCCCAAATGTGCCTTTGAGGGAGGCTTGTTTGCTTTGCTGGCAACTCTTGCAAACTGTTGGGGACTGCTGCAGAGAGGTGGCCTGTCTGATGCAACATGCTCCCTTTTGTAAGCAGCGTCAGATTTCATGCAGTTGACCCTCCTTTGCTTGTCCCTGGGATGGGCCTGTATCTTGTGTGTGTCATAAACCAAACCTTTTAGCATAATCTGCAGTCTTTCTTCTTTATTAAGCAAGATCATCTTTTATGAGGAAGGAACAGGCTATGTCAAATCCCTATTAAGTCAAAGGAGCATCAGGCTTGGGGATAAACCATCTTAGGGTGACCCAAATTGCTCCCAATACCTTTTTTTGCTAACTCTCAAATAAGTATTCAAATTTTAAAACATTTACTTTTTATATGAAACAAAACATGGAGTTATTGCTTTCAAAGTATGTTCCAAAACAACCTTGGTTGAACTTTTGTTAGCAATTGGATTTTGATTCTGAGATTGCTTTATAATACTTAATGAGTTATATAGGTCACCTATATGCAATTTCATCCTTCATCTATAAAAATGAATTCTCCCCCAACTATTTACATGAAGAGAGATCCCAAAGGTAGACTGGTTGTGAGTTACTTACTAATTTAGAAATAAAATATAACAGAAAAAAGGGAAAACATTTGTCATTATATATATGCCATTAAAAATCATAATTGTGATCTTGTCTACATTAGAAAGGCTTGGCCTCAATTTTGAAAACTAGAATAGGAGAACGAGAATAATTTCTCTTTTTAACATCACAGTTGTTCTTTGGGTCAATCTCATGTTCTTTGGGTCTGTAAATACCTTATATGGTCAGACAGAAAGGATGTGGGATATGATCTTAATGTTCTCTTCTTTCTATTTTACCTAGTACCCTTAGTGGTACTAGGGATTGAACTCAGGACTTTGCTTTTGCTAGGCAAATGCTCTACCATGGAGCCTCCTTCTTGCTATATAAAAAACAAAAAGCCATATTACAATGGACTTGGTGGGAAGAAATCCACTGATTTTTGTAAACTGCATTAAGGAACTATCTGCTTTTTATCATATGAACATTATTCTTTTCCACCAGAAACAACAGGTACTTCTTTTTTAATATAGGTAATATAAAGGACCAATCCTAGACTAGGCAAAACCTTCACCAATCTTCCTCTTTTAAAACCACTGATCCTGAATGTGGGAAATAATTAGGAAGACTGGGATCAGAGAACTAGAAGTAAGATGAATGTTAGTAGAGGCGACTGACATTCCTTAAAAGAAGGCTTCTGACAAAAGTAGAAGCCAATGCAGCATCAAGGAGCCTGGGAACAATATTCCTCATTCAGTCACCAAATAAATATTGGGTAGGAAAGAGGGGCTGAGCAGGAAATCATGCCTATCTTCTCATGAACAAGAGTTGCTGCATGCAGTCCTTAGGGAAGGAAGTTGCTTTCTGGAAGTTTCTTTCAGGAAATTCTATCTCAAAAAGGAAAAAAAAAGTTTAAGTGTACTGAAGCTGAGTGCATATCCAAGAATACACAGAGGGGTTACTGGAGCAGAGAGAGAGGTGTGTCCTTACACATGACTTCATGGGTAGGACAAGGAGGCACTAATGTGGAATGATTCAAGAGGGACAGAGTTGGGATTCCTGGTTCCCATGCACTTAGTTTGTCATTCAGCAATGCTCTACTAAGAGGAGGACTGAAGTCTCTCTGTACAATTCCTCCTTGATTCAAGTCCAACAGCCACTGGGAACCATATCTCAGAATTTGGGAGTAGAAAAGCAAATTGATCTGAGTTAGAATAGAAACCAGCTCTAAAATCCTGAAACAACTATATTAGGTTTTAATTAGAATCACACAACACAATATCAACTATCCTATTAACAGGGAGATGGATATTTTAATTCAGTACACAGAAAGTTTCAGTGGTGTGTTCTCCATCCTCGAAGATGGCTCTTACAGCACAGTGCTCCATAGGTCAGGAGCCTGTACTCTCCAATGAAGGCATCCCTTCAGACTGGTAGTCTTGGAACAAACAGAAGACAGAAGATAGCTTTGACATAGGAGAGGGGAGCCAAAGGGCCAGGTTGTATGTTTCCTTAGCAACTGGTTTAATCATTATGATTATTATTGATTACAAAGAGTTCGTCAGGAAAAGAACTGAAAGTTAAGTGACAAGTTTTAGTCATAGTAATTTCATGTATCAGTCATGTAATCTTACACAAAATTTCAACACAATAGGACTTGTTCTCTGCCATATCTCCTGTGTCTAAAATAATGCCTGGAAAATAAGTGCTCAGCAAATATGTCTTCATAAACCAATGCATTTAATTTACTGGGCTCCATTTCACAGTCTGCAAAATTTGAATACCCATGAGTATTGAAGAGAGCAAATGAGATAATGAATAAAAGGCCTTAATAAAAACCTAGATATTATAGATGGTGACATATAGTCACAGTATATAGATTCTTCTAGATGCATAAATAGGTTTGAAATTTTCTGTTTTTTTTTTTAACCTACTTTTCAGGACATGGTGAAGAGAGTTAAGTGTCTCTATCAATAACCAAATATGATCATTAATGCAACTCAGTATTTTGCAATGCACAAAGTACATCTGCATAGTCATTCCAATGACTTATTTTAATGATCATGCTTATTTAGTGTTTTCTTTTTGACAATAAGTGTCTACTTAGTGATAATGCACATCTAGTTCCTGGTTTTGATGTAGGGTATCAAAATGGCTTCTTTGTTAGTGTGGCTATATCTGTTCACTGAATTCTCATTCTGTCTCTATGATCCTGCATCCACTTTAAGTTCTTTTGAGCTACTTTGCTGTTGCCACCATGTGTCATTTGGTCCTCAGTTACACTATGACAATCCACAAGAGAAGGAAAAGGCTGGCATCTGGTCCCAGTTAACACAACCTGGAAATGTGGTATAAATAAATATGGGGGGTTGAATAACACCATAGAGGTCTTTAGGAAATGACCATGGGTAAGAACCCTTCAATTTGAGGTTCATTTTGCAAAGAGCAAAGAGGGTTTTGATGGCAAAAGGGTAAACAATAAGTGCTGAAGAGAGGTGTGGACAGTTCTCAAAATACTTTAAGGACTTTTTTAGTCTTTATGATCACATTGGCAACATTGAGGAATGAGGTAATCCTGGCTGGGATATGCAGAAGTCCTTCCAAAAGTAACTACGCTACATAAACTTTGAGACTAAGCAACTAACATGCTGTTTATAGAGGAATGATAAAATTTATATGAACATCTCTTAAAGTCTGGTTCTGACGGAGCACATTCTCAGCCACAGAAGAATTTACCCAAAGCCCTCAGAAACCATCTCTTGAAGAGTGAATACATTGTCTCAAATCACGTTGATTACCTCTCCATTTTGAATCCCTTCTTACCTGTTTTTGCTCTTCTCCTAAACCATCCCACATCGAAGCCACAATTTTAGAGACTTCTCCAAAGGTAGCATTTGGATTTTGGCCCTTGATGGCAGCCTGAGTATCACGAAAGAATAACGCATAGGCAGACACAGGCTTCTGAGGCTCATTAGGGTCCTTCTTCTTCTTCTTTTTGGGGGTTTTGGGTTTTTTCCCTATATCAGAGGCAGGCCGCTTCTCTCCTCCATTGATCTGAAACAAAAATCAACACACAATTGTAGAGGAACAGAAAAATTGTGGCCAATGTTGTTGTCTCAGCTAAAACTTCATATTTGAGGTTGGGGATATAGCTCAGTGGTAGAGTGCTGACCTAGTATGTAAGAACTGGGTTCAATCACTAGCACTAGGGAAACACACGCACGTGCACACACATGCACACACACGCACAAAGAAATAATCCTTTTGTATTTCGTGTAGTCTTCATATTCATCCTTCTCCATATTCATATTCATATCTTCATATTCATTCTTCTCCCAGCTCAATTTACATAGTTCTAAAAAACTTTAGTGATGAATGTGAAGGCACATCCCTGTAATCCCATCTATTCCAAAAGCTGAGGCAGGAGGATGGCAAATTCAAGGCCACACTTGGCAACTTAGTGAGACCCTGTCTCAAAATAAAATAAATGGCTAGGGGGTATAGGTCAGTTTTAACTAGCATGTGCTAGGACCTAAGTTCAATCCTTGGTACTGTATAATAATAATAATAATAATAATAATAATAATAATAATAATAATACTTTTTACAATATTGCTCCACAATTAAGTATTATACCTAACACCTAACTCTTTTTCTTTTTCTCTTTCAGTGTAACTGTGGCAGTAGCAAATTTCTTTTGTAGTGATGTGATTGCATGAGCAATCTAACTTGCTTCTGGAGAGTTCATTCTTATCTTCATAATTATTTTAAAACCATAAGGGCAACATGTCAAGTAAGTAAAGTCAAATGGTTTTTCACTTTACACTTAGGTCTATGGAATGCTGTTGGGAAAACCTAGCAATGCTCATAGTGTAAAGAATGGCATAATTTTGACCCTAGATCCATGCAATTATGGAGAAGTTCTATAATCTGCATTATCCTATGCAATAGACACAAGTCATAGGAAGCCAATGAACGTTTAAAATATGGCTTCAGGAAATATGGAACTAAATTTTAGCCTTATTCAAATTCAAATAGCTAATGGCTACCATATCGAAGAACGTACCTCTGAAAACTAAATTTTAGAGATTTATAGGACAACTTTTTACTCCATTTAAAAATAGATTCCATGTTCTCCCATTGTTTCACGGATGACTATGTGGATAATTTTAATTGCTATTCTGATAAAATGGTGGTGGTGGGGAACCACTCTTGATGTGTTTAAGACACTTATGTCTGAATATCATCTTTTTTTACTTGACTAGATGTGATCTCACTTCAACCAATTCTATGAAATCAGGAATTAAGGCTATGATTTCTTTCCATTGATAAAAATTATATGAGTCAATAGAATACATACTAGTCCTGTAAATGAAGAATCCTTTTCCACATGCCACTTCCACCAATGTAAGTCCCATGTGCACTATTTCCTGACTGAGTGGCCATTGCCATTGCAGATACTCCATCATCCACTGTTGTGGTAGTTTTCACTTTCTCCTCTTTGCAGATATAATGTAATATATATTTGATCCACATAACTTGCTGGGTGGGGCATTTGTATAAAATAATTGCCACCATTTCAGAAGAATGATCTACTAAGAAACCTGTGGATACATCAACAGATCTAGCTCCATGCCCTCCTTTTACTTATTATTTTTATCTGTGTTCTTTTCATTAAATTAGTTGTTCTGGGCCCTTGTTTCTTCTACTGTAAAACAGTTGCAGTACCATTTTATGATCACTGAGGTAGCATATAGTTATATATTTTAAAAAAATGTTAAAGACATTCAAATATTAATTATGATGCCTTAGAAGATTTAAAAATAATTCATTGAATGGAAAGAGATGACCCTCATGTTGCATACCTTATGTTCAGTTTGAAAGATATGCCCAAGTTCAAACAGAGATAGGAAGGAAGCTAAATGAGTTCTCTGTCTTTATTGAGAAATATATTTAAAAAGATTAATATTCTGAAATTATCTACTGAAGCAGATCAAAGAGCCCCTTGGGGACAGGATGCTCTGAACCGAGTTGACAAGCTAATGTAGATTAACTCTAGATGATAGATTCCCCAGGATGGATCTGAGAGGTGGTCCTGTGAAATTGTTGGCACTCATGTAAGCCTATCAGAGGACTAGAATGATAGGGCTGAGCTGATATAGGACAAATGGGTGTGCTGGCTCTAAATTAAACACATAGACCTATGTGACACAGAATGGAGGTTCTCAAGTATATCTGCACACTGGAATCACCTGGAAAGCTTTTGATAAATACCCAATGCCCAGGTCTTAACTTTATATGGGTAATCAGATGTCTAAGGGTTGGAGATTAGTCTCACACACTCTCAACTGTTCTTCTTTACTCTTTTAATTGACATTTAACTACCTTGAGAGAAAAAAACAAACAAACAAATAAACAAGAAAACTTTCCCTGTGCCCCAAGGCTACATATAGTCATATCTTTCTCCTCTTCTCAAGTAAACTCCCCCAAGTGGTAGTCTGTGCTGGCTGTATGCAGCCTCTGCTGATTGCTTGAGTGTGCTTCCCACCACAATGCTAAATCCAAAGGACTTTTTAGCACCAACCTTACCTGATTCTCACTGGGAAGACCCTGTTTTCCAAGAGTTCCATAATACCACCCTTTCTGGGTTTCACTCGTATTTTGCTGGCCTTGTTTGGTTAAGAATCATGTTTTTTTTTTGGCTCATTTTTCTCCAAGTGATCACTATATGGTAGCATTGCTGATTTTTTTTTTCTGTAAATCCCCTTCTTCTGAGTTTGTACTGAAGTAATCTCATAAGTATGATGAGTTTACACTGCTATTTGTGACTGGATAATTGTTAAGTTCATGTTTTCCCTGAGTTTTACATGCATAGAAACAGTGATTGTTGGGCATGTGTATTTGCAAATCTCAAAGATATCTCAAATTCAAGTTGAGCTCTTATTCACTCAGTTAGTTCTATATAGTTCCATTCATAGTATGTATCAAACTTATACAATTATCTGTGTGTGGCTGTTAGATGATCTTCTGCCCCTGCACTATGAAGTCAAGGTCCAGGTCTAGTTTTGATCACTGATCTTATAATCATTCCTAAAATGCAGAAACTGTTTAACATGTGCTATAATAGTAGCAAATATAAAATCACAAAATCATAGCATAATTGGAAGAATGAATGAATGAAAGCACAAATGGTTTCTGTTACAGGAGATTAATCCTCTCAAATTTATTTGAGCACTTGAGGGCAATAAGCAATATGCAGTGAAAGAGAAAACATGCATAGATTTAAAAAGTATTTGACGTGTTAATAGTAATTTCCTTGGTTATAGGATGGGTCTTTGTAATTTTTCTCTAATTTTTAAATAATTTTCCAATTTTTTAAACCTGGCAGTTTTACATTCATAATCACTTACTGAAAAGAAAAATAAAAGAAGTCAGCAAGGTCCACAGTGAAGAATATTAAACATGGAGTGGTTGAAGGGTACAAACTTTCAGTTAGTTACAAGATGATTAACTTCTGAGGATTTAACAGCATCATGACTATAGTTAACAATACTGTATTGTATACTTGACAAGTAAACTGGTGGACCTTAAGCATTGTTAATAAAAAGAAAAAATAGGGCTGGGGATATGGCTCAGTTGGTAGAGTGCTTGCCTCACATGCACAAGGCCTGGGTTCAATTCCTAGCAACACACACACACACACACACACAAACAACAACAACAACAACAACAACAACAAAACAAAAACCAAAAAACAACTAATAGAAAACAACAAAAAAGGTGACCATGTGAGGGGGTAGATGAGGTAATTAACTTAATTGTAGTGATCATTTCACAATGTACATGTGTATCAAATCATCATGTTGTATTCTTTAATTATACACAATTTTATTTGTCAATTATACCTCAGTAAACCCGGATAAAAAAGAGTGATCATGAAATTAGAGGGCATATTTCATCAAAGATCAGGGATATTTAGGAAAAGGGAATAAAATTGCAGAGATAAGTGAATTCTTATCCATGTTGAAAATTACCTAGACTCATTTTAAACTTTAATTAAAAAATTAATGATCAGACACATTGAAATCTCCATGACTGCAGTTTATATCAATCTCTTTGCAAAATAATCAAATATGAATCACAGAGATAAATCTCCTATCATGCACTGTAAATGTTATCATTAAAGGATTTCCCCAAATTATTTTTCCCTCCTCTATTATCTAAAATTGTGTTTGAACCACAGGTATTAATGCTCATTTCCTTATTAAACTAGTATTCAAACAGTTATCCTCTTGTGTTTGACACAGGGCTCTACTTTGTAGGCAAAACCTGATGAAGCAGGAGAACTTGTTACTGCCAGTAAGAAATTCAAATATTAAGTGTATCAAAATCACAAATTATCATTTTGAGGCAATGTATAGCAACCCTGTAGAAAACTCTAAATTTAACTTCATGCAACCAACCTATTTGGTCAGTTGTCTGGAAGGTTTTCCTAGAATTTCCTGGCTTGTCTTGTAGGGTTGGCAGGATGCAGTTTTGCTCAGTCTCAGAGCTTTGTTTAATAGAAGTCATGAATTCTGCCTCCACATTTTGAAGGCTCAGAAAACATCATTTATGTATTATGGGATGTAACTCTGAAGTTTCAATTGTCTATCTGATTGGGTATTTGAGAGGCACTAAGCTGCAGAGCAGGCTGTCACCTCCATTAAAGCCAGACTACCCAACATTTTCATAACAGCACATCATCTTTGTCTTTGCCATGGGTAAAAGCATATGGATCTGCTTTCAGTTGACAACATACTATGCTTTGCCTTTAAATATATATATGCATAGTAACCTTGGTCTAAATTATAAATTATGGAACAGAATTGGCATCTAGAAAGATCAATCTAAAGGACAGACCTAATATATTCCAGATTCATTATTCCAGACTCATTGTTTTTCCTTCAATAATTAAACTAGATTATCAAAGCTATATTTTTGGATCATAATACTCTGACCACTCATAGAATTGACTTAATAGAACCCACCTATGATTTATTTAAGATAATGCC